TGTACTTTTTCTGAGGCTATGCCAATGTATGAAAAAGAATTCATTACATCTAGCCTGATGACTTCAGTAAACATTAGTACTCGTTTCTTATTAAATTACTTGGTATCATCTATGTTTTAAAATTTTTATACTTACTCTAATTATTTCTATACTTAGTGCAATAAATTTACTCACTGTACATGTTATTACTTTATATATGTATCGATGTGAAGGAAATATACAAGGACATGAGTCGGATATTGAGTTGATGTTTGGAGTGACGCAACTATTCTGCCTTGGTATCAAGTGATCTATTCAATGTGTTCATTTTTAACTTTGAAAATAAGAGCCACCAAATGGAAGGAAATGTCAAAAAGACTTTTGTTTTTTAAATTTCTCATATGGATAACATTTCTATCAAACAGGGAAATGGCTGGTCATGTCAAAAAAAGAGCATTTTACTGTAGCCTGACTCCGGGCAGAATGAATGAATGATGAATTGAGGTGACACTGAATAGTTGTAAGATTAATGGTAAAATTAGAAAAATTATATAAGGTCTTTGTGAACATAACATACAGCAATAATTACCACATATGTAGAGGTAATCAAAAAGAAAGTTATTTTTAGATAATTGTCTCCTGTTTTTATGGTCAGAATTCTTGATATTATTGGCTGAAATTTCCATCCATGTAATGCAATAATGAATACTGATATAATAAATATAATAATGAAAGATATTTGTAACATAAAACAGTAAAGTAATCTTTCATTACCACATTCATATTCTAGGGGAACATATGTAGGACATCACTATCATATTTATTTCTCTGTATGCTTAAAAGCTCTTGTCTTTGCATCTCTTTGCTGTTCCAGCATTGCCATTGGAACCCACATTATATTCAGACTTTTACTTCAAATCAGGTGTCAGAAACAAAATGACATTTCAGAATACTGTTAAACCTCTCATCAAGACCACCACTCCTTTTTGAGACCAGTTTCCTATGGAACAGAATAATTATTCCATAAAACGATTTATTTTTACCCCCTTAAAGAGACCACCCCTTTTCATTACCAACAACCATGAATTTTTGTCGTAATGTAACATCGCATTCCCTGTAAGAGACCAGAAAACCTTGCACTGAAATAATGAACTCGAGAGTTTGCCTACTTCTGCAGCAGAGCCATATCCTGTCTCTTTCAGATAAGCAATAGAGATTGGGCACATGGGATTTTACCAAAACTTTGAAGGGGAGATCTTGCAGAAAATGTAGAGAAACTGTCATGTTATCAAGTTGCAAGATAATTTCGTAGAAGCAAAATAATACCCCTGAATTACAATAATCAACACTTTGTCATTAGCACACTACCTGAAGAAGGACAATTCTTAAAGTACACTACTATTCATTTTTAAACTCTTTATAATTAATAAATACAGTTGATCAAAAAGTGCAACATTGATGTAATACAGTAAAGCTTTCATTTGAAATCAGAATAGTGTTATGAAGCATATCATAGTAGTTGCAACAGCAGCGGTGAGGACAGTAGTGTGATGTACCCTTTAAGAAGACCACCTCTCTAACTGACCAGTTTTAAGGTATTAATCACTTGGTCAGCTTAGAGGTTTCACTGTATTATATTCAGTAAATTCTACCCCTGTGATAACATATGATTAGATGATAATTAACTTTTGGACCAATTCCACCACTAACCAAATGGCAGTAAATTTTAAATATTCTATTTTGTTTTGAAAGTATTGGCCTAAAAATATGTTTTTCAACATTATATTACAAAGAAATTGTAATTTTAAGCTTCAAATAATTTTTATTTGAAAAACTTTGAAGTATAAAGTCTTCAAAAAATTAAATTGTATTAAACTGCAATTTTTTGTGCAAGTAGAAAAAACTGGGAGGGGATTTCTAATTGAAAACGAGTTGAAAAATTCTTATTTTAAAATCTTTATTCTAATGGGTTTACTGTGTTGCCAAGAGTCCTGTTCTTGCAATCTTACTGCGATGATTTGAAGCAGAGAAATTAGGAAACAACACGGATGACAGATTTAGGTGAGCAGGTAACTAGTGTGCAGGGAACAAAGAAAACTTTTTTAACAAGTAAAGATGGCCTAGGATTTTTTCCCTCTTATTTTGTAATTAATTAGAAAAAGAAATTATATGAATGAAAGCTAAGTGCACCATGCAAATACTGTCATATATGCCCTTCAACTAGAACAAAGGTATGAATGAATATGCATTGAAAGTCGATACCAATTTTAATTTGATCACTTGATTTTAATCACTTACATTTTAATAAGGCTTTCTAAAAAGGAGTGAATCATGTTAATAAATAACCTAAATAACTTTACTCATCTTATTTCAGTGTGTGTTGTTTCACTCAAGTGTAAAAGTGATTTTTAAGTAGGTCATGCATCCTAGGGTTAATGGATTTAGAATATTATCTGGTGTTATTATATGATTGAACTAACATGTTTCAAAGGTTAGTAATTATTATTGTCGGTACACCATTGCAGGAAAACAGATTTCTTTCAAATTGTTTGTCATCAGCTGTAAAATTGATTAGCTGAAGAACCTTCTTATCAACATGTGTTACAATGAAACATGATTTCTTTCAATTCTGCTACATTAATATCAATATTAAAACTTGGACCAGGTGATGGGAACTTCAAAGCATGAAGCAAATGGTGTGATCAATGGTCTACATTGTTGACAAAGCAACATTAGATTGATATAATATTTATTCTAATAATTTGTGTGGAATAATGAATAAATAGATGTTATGTTTTTTTAAAAGAATGTAATATAATTGTATATTGATAAAGGAGGTGATAAATGGATGGAATTAGACAACTATTTTACCTACATTTAGAATCTTTTATTTTCACAAATCTGTTTGATTTCAAGAGACATTTTGTAGTTAACTGAATGAAGAGAACCAAATGAAAAGTGCTCAATGATCTTTTAGCAAATAATGTGAATGACTAGAAACATGATCTAAAAGAAAGAATTATATTTTCTTTTATACAATAAAATCTGTCTATGCTGGAATCGATTTTATGGCTTGTGATTGTGGTATTTCTGTCTGGAAACTAGTAAATTAAAATAAGTAAAGTAGGAATTAAAATAAAGTCAAAATTACCATACACGATTTTATTATGATTATTAAATTATATTTACATATAACGTATGTATGGAAGATATCACCAGCAAATGAACATACAACATTCTTTGTTAACAGCTTCAGAGTTTCTCTTGCTTCTGTAAGTTTTATCTTTTCAGTTTATCGTTTAGTTCTTTTATGTTCTTTCATGTTCTTTCTTTCCCTCCCTCCTGTTCCAATCTGTTATGATTGTCGACATTGGGTGGGGAGGCATGCAAAAAGAAGCCATGCCCTTCAACTTTTCCAATCTAAGAGAGTCAGAAGGGAGGTAATTCCCCTACAGCCTACACCTTGAATGACAAGCGACCCCAAGGTGTGTCTGCCTTCTCTAAATGATGTGTCACAGGGATAGAGAATTTAAACCTTTTTTTTTTTCTTCTTCTTCTTCTTCTTCTTCTTTTTGCCTGTTGGACATGAAAAACCATTCTGTTTCCATGTTAAACAGGTTCCATTTTATGCTGTTTAAAATGCCCTCACAGGCTCAAAATAACTTCACGGGCCAGATAAATTTTCCGGTTCAGGCAGGTTTCCTGTTTGCACAGGTCCTGCTTTAGACAGATTTTATTTCACCTTAAAGTTTAAGAAAATTCATTGTTCTGAAATTTTTCCTCCTCGTATGTCTTACATTTTTTTTTAAGAAAATGTAAAATTCCACAAAGTGTTGTTTCTTTGTAAAAGTACTGGGATAGTACTAGAAGTTGGGTTTCCATTTAAATGGATTGAATTACAAAAACATTATGTTAGATAATATTGAACAATTAGCAAAATGAAATTGTTTTTTAATTAGTTTCTGCGTTGAGAAAAAGATGTATTCATATTAAAGTGACATATTTTTATTTTCATTTTTTCTCTCAGAGCATTGAGAAGAAATGTCACACACCCTGATTAATCAACCAGTAGCTTCAGTGGGTTTATGAGAAAAAAAATCAATGCGCTTGTATATAACAATGGAAAATTTATGGTGCTAAAATAGGACCTCCTTTCTCATATTATTGGTAACTCTTACATAATATTAAATATTTGTCTGGGGTCAAATTTAAACTGGATATTAGGTTCCCAAGGCAAGAGTTCCTTTGTGCTGTGCATTCTTGCATTGCACTGAGTGAATTTCATATGCCATAATGAACTCTTCAATATTACAGTAATTCTACCAAGTAGTCACAATATTAACTTAAGAATCTGCAAAACAACTAAGTGTACATGGAATGATTTATACATCTAATATTGAGGAATAAATCACATTAAGAGAGAAATCTCAGTTATAAATGTAGTTATAGGAGTGTGTCAAAAACTAGTTTAAAGTTTTGCAATTATTGGGAGGATTTAATGAAAATTAAACCTATGGCAAGCTAATAAGCAAACTGTTCTTGAGCAAAAGATGTGTGGAAGGAAAAATGTGGAAAAGATTGTGTTAAGAAGCTAATGGTACTCTCGAATGGCAGAGAGTTTTCTCTTACTAGTTAGTTTCCTAATCTTTGGTTAGATTTAATCAAGGTTAGATATTTAGTTTTGCCGTGACCTCTTTCCAGCTGCCATCAATTAACGTCAAAATTGTTGCTTTTTGGTCCCGTAATGGTAGAATTGAATTTTGACTTATGGTATTATGTGCTCAAATTTTATTTAAAAAATATGAAGCCTTTTTTGGGCGTAATTTGACTTACCTATGGATTTTTCTGTAACATAAAAGCCAATCTTCATGTTGGCAAATTTTGATACACTGTTGGAAATTTTCATTGTGCTACATTGTTCAATATATCTACTACCCACATGTATAAATAAGATTAGTTGCAAACTAGGGATTTTTTTTCTCAATGTTATTATGGAATGTGTTTATTTTCATAATGTGTAGATATATCAGAAGGCTGTGCAACTCCAGAAGAGCTCGCTGAAGAGCTAGAAGAGGCAATATTTCAAGAGTTCCGCAACACAGACATGCGATATAAAAACAGAGTTCGCAGTAGAGTTGCAAACTTGAAAGATGCAAAGAATCCCACATTACGTAGTAATTTCCTTGCTGGGGTTATTACAGCGGGTCGTTTGGCTACTATGACAGCAGAGGTATGTTTAATACTGTCAAGGACCATTTATTCTCAAACACAAAAAAAAGTTTGTATATGTGCATGTGGCGGTTAGTGTATTCGATTGTTATAGTCAAGTTCGGGGGTTCAAACCCAATCGAATCTGTGGATTTTTAGAGTAAAATAATCCTTGGGAGGGAAAGTACAGTTGGCTGTCCCATGTTCATAGATTTATTGCATGTAAAAGATCTTCAGGATAAATGAAGCTTCTGAGCTAAATTCAAATTGTCTGTTTCAAATCCTCACCCAAGAAATAACTTCTTTATCCGCTAGTTGGTGAAAGGAGCGCCACAAAATTTGCATGGTCAGACGGAAGAGCAAGCCTCATGATCTCAATCTCGCCACGTATATTAAGGCTTCAATTGAATTCAATAAGTAGTTTAAAAAGGTAGATATTCTGCGAGAAAACAACGCCCCTCTCCAAGCTTTGTTCTTTCTTCTTCTCCTCCACCACCTTAGAGATCCACAAGCAGGATCAAACATTCGTCTCCCAAGAAATACCTCCTTTCTCTGCTAGTTGGTGAAAGGAATGTAGTGAAATTTACATGGTCAGGCGGTAGAGCAGTCCTCATGACCTGAGTCTCGCCCATGTAAAATAAAGCATCAATTCAATTCAGTTCATGTGATGCTCAGGGTGAGTTTCTTCAGCTGATAAAAATCCTACCTGCTTGTTCCTCATAATGTTAGTAATAAATAATTCCTTTGCCATTTTAGCATCAGAAGCGTAGATTTTTGGAGAGAATGTTCTTTGTAATTTTCAATTTCGTTGCTGCCTGTTTATCACTGGAACTTCTTGTATTTTTCCAAGACGCTTTTGGAAGTGCTATCAGTTAACTTGGGAGGTCGTTATCATAATTTGTGAACTTTGAGTGTACTTTAGTTCTGATAACCTGCTGAGATACTAAGGTCCTGACAGCCTCAAATTGGCCGCCAACACAATATCGTGCATGAGACATGTCTACCTCCAGATTTTCAACTCGCTATAAGCATAATCTTATGGATGTTATAGAAGAGAAAATGTCAAGAAATGGCTATGCAGAAACAAAGCATTTTTCCAACAAGTTACCATAGTCAATATTAGATCATATGAGGAGAATCGCTAACCTGTTTCCTTTCTTCTTTTGAAAAAGGATGTAGATTTAAAATGTTGTACACTCTGAAAACTTTCATAATAGTAACACTACACACATCATAGAGTAAAACTTCCTCAATGCAGAATCTCAAGGAACCAGTATTTTTTCTGTATTAGACAAGATTGCAGATTATAATTCTGTAAAATTTATGTTTGCCTGGACTGCAATTTATGTTCACATTAGACCGCTTTACACAGTTTCTGCATTGAGCAAGTTCTATTGTATTTCTGCTGAAGTTCTTAACATTGGGCTTAAAGCTCTAATATGCTCACATTAGGAAGGAACTTGTTTTAATTTCCAGGAAATGGCCAGTGATGAAATGAAGTCATTACGTTCCAAATTCATGAAGGAAGCTATTAATGATGCACAATTAGCTCAGGTACAGGGCACTAAAACAGACCTGCTTAAATGTGGCAAGTGTAAGAAGCGTAATTGCACTTACAATCAGGTGAGCATTGCATTGTAGTTCTTCCATGCTTTATTTATAGCTATGTTTTCCTATTTCAAAAAATTTAAATATCAGAGTTCATTATAATAATGGTCATCTTGTTAATCAAAGCAACTGTGTTATCTTTTCTAAAATAATAAAATTGTCTGCTTGTTGGCAAAGTCATTGCTATGAGAAGCATTGGATGGCAGTTTGTTGGGTGGAGGCCTTCAGTGACATAGGTCACTGATGCTGACCTGTGCACTGCACAAATGGAACATATTGTTAGGGGCAGTCACTGCATATGTCAGCTTTGGGAGGGATTCGTGGAAATCTTGAGATTGAGATTATTTTGAAGGATTTTGTCTCTGAGTACTGTAATATACGTTGATTGCAGTTTCCTTTGTGCATAATCAAATAATGATTTCTATTTACCAATCTTTCAATTTCCCCTACATGTTGGCTCCTGCTCCAAAAACAAATTTGCAATATATATCGACCAAAGATTACAAGTTGCCACCTTCAATCACATGTTGTCAATTTCTATTATTGTCACTGTATTGGCTAATATATTTGCCATTACTTACAGAATACTTACGTATTTGTCAGAAAGTTCAGTGGTAAAATTAAAAGTACTTTAGAGTTTTGTCCTTTTTTCATTTTTATCTATCAGTGTCTTATCTTTAGTAAATCATTTACTTGTGACCTTTTGCAAAGCTCTTAAATCATGTTTTAAATTTTGCCTTTTTTATCACTTGTTCATTTGGTGATTCCTGCCTTCAGGTGCAAACAAGGAGTGCTGATGAACCTATGACAACGTTTGTCATGTGCAATGAATGTGGGAATCGCTGGAAGTTCTGTTAGTCAGCACTGCCTGAGCAGCTCTTGTACCTGCCTCCCACCAGTTGCAACTTGCACTAATGACTCTGCTCCCTCTCCATTTTGTTCCCATTTTCAGGCCAAAGCATTCAAAAGAGGATACTCCAGGGAGAAATGGAAGGGGATATGTCAAAAGTCATTGCATGTTACTCAATTATGTTTTCAGATCAGCGATTGAATTTGTTAGAATGTTCTGGATTTGCCATGTTGCGAAGGTGTTGTGCAATACGTTACTTTGTATCTCAGTTGGAACTTATTAGAATCAAATCATGAATATCAAGAGCATGAAAAATGCTTTTAAAACTTAGATGATCGTGATCAGTCATTTCATATTGATGTTGGAATACCTGTTGGACTCGTGTATTGAACTTCAAGGTGTAAATAGTTTTCAGTGTTTCGTTCATGTAGTGGTATCTGAGATGCTGAATTCCCTTTTAATAAAAGTGGCATTAGGAGAGAGGCTTGATGCTTTTGAAGATTGTATGAATCAAATGTAATGTAACAGTGTAGTTGCTGTGGAATTCAATTTTGTTAGATGTCCCTTGCATACATTTTTGTATGTGCAGTGTTGTAAGAAAATAAATAGTACTTTTATCTACAGTAATTTGTGATGCCATCTGACACAAAATGTGAAGTCATAACTACAAAATGTTTCTCTTCATTTGTTTATGTCCTTGGTCTTTCGATGACTTATATCTGATTTAAATTAAGATTCAAGGTGGACTGACCATTATGTTTTTGACAGTTTTTTATTTACAAACAAACCTTTTTGATAGAATATTTATTTTGAAATCCAAACTCAAAATGTAAGGTCAGTCAATGACTGGACTCTCCAAATGCTAAAATACATTTGAAAATGAGTTTTAATGTTCTCTACAACAATTTCTTAATTGGGCTGTTGAATGTTGTTAATGTATAACATTTGTACGAGTGCTTTGTAAATGAAGGTGATTAAATAAATTACTTTCTCCATCTGTTTGGTGACTTTAGGTTTTACTCTTATTGTCATTGATCCTTTTGGAGAAGACAATTTATAATTACTTTTGAGCAATTGCTTGACAAGAACTGAAATAATGAGAAAGTGTTTTGACTTCTCTTGCGGAGATAGTGATCTATTTCTTGCTGATAGAAGATAGTTGCATCTCTTATAGTGCAACAGACTGCGTCTTCTGAGCGACCCAGAATTCTCCTCCGTTATGTGCAACAGTGTACCTGCAAATCAGACAAAATTTGTGATTTTGTGTGGCACATTGATTTTAATTTATTAATGCTAAGTGTGTTCAGCAATTTCAGTCCTAATCTTTTTGTAGTATATCACAAGTACCAACCACATTTTTGTAAATACCACAATTGTATTTGTGTTTTGTCAACATTAGTAATGTTCATCATCTAAGATGAAATAAAACCTACAATATCTAAAAATTGTTTTATATTAGAATTGGCATACAGGACTTAATTATTGTGGCTATGGAATAAATAAATGTAGTTTACTTTTCAGACTATCATTTTAACTGAAAGAAGTTCAGTAAAACCTCATTTTTGAACTTTTCATGGGACCAATGGAAAAAAGTGCAGAAACAAGTGCAAAATGCAGAGAAGTTTCAAAAACGGTCGGCTAGGCGAGTACTTACATCATTTACTGCAGTGGTGGCCGTTTTTTCTCGCCTTTCATAAAACAAAGTATAATAATCGTGTGCGGAAAAACTGCAAACTTTTGATAGAAACACTCTTATTGACTGGCCCTGGTAACGAAAAGTGGATAAATCATGTTCCTATAAATGGTAAATTACTTCCTCACACTTAGTGTAACCAGAATCCATGTTTTGTAGGTCTTTGAAATCGAAAAATTGATTGATGGCAAAATGACTGTCGGTCTGTGGTCAACGCTAGTGCCTAGACTGTTCAGCTGATTTTCTTCAAAATCAATCTCCCGATTGATCTGAACGAACTTGGAAGCTTTGTGATTTTGTTACATACATATCAGTGGCATAATGTTCAGGCCCGCAATACGGGCGGGCCCAGGTAAAAGGGGGCCTGTTTGTAGGGGATATTTTTATTATATAATGTATTACAACTATTTGTGTTGATACAATTTTGTGAAGGGGGCCTGGATGCAAGTTTTGTGGGTGGGTGCGCACTCATTTCGTTTCCCTACTGGTACATTTGAATTAATTTACTACATATTGGAATTGGATTTATCCATTTTTTCTGTTTTGCTACGAGTTTTTCTGTTGAAAAATCACAGTTTTTCTGCAGCATTACATTACTTTCTCTGCACTACGTATGTTACTCCACAAATACGTACGTATATGAAAAAGTAAAAAATAAATAGAAAAAAGTATGTAGTGGTAACGGTGGGAAGTGCTTCTTATCAAGTTGTAAATTGCGGATTGATAATACATTGTATATATAGGCTTAACAATTGGACCAAAGAAAAATTACGTAAAAGGGTAGAAAATATGAAAATGGGGTTTTACTGTAGTCTGTATAAAATAAAATGAATTTTGTACATTAAATGTAACATTTACATCCAAATAATATAATTTATTCTATTTCTTTATGAGAATGTGATATCTTCACATTTCCAACCACACTACATACCTCATTATGTAACAGAAGTACTGTTCAGAGAAATTCCAACAATTATGCATTAACAAGATTTTCAGGAGATACAAAACACACAGATCACACCAAACAGTGGGGGCCAAACATAATTTATGACTAGAAGTTTTAAAGTTCTTTTGAAAGTTTTCTTAATTTTTTTCTCTGCCAAGTTGTATAGTTTTTCGATTCATTTATATATTGTGGAATTGAGATTTACTGTGGCATAAATTAGATTTTTCCGTGGTTCCAGGTTCCAATTTGTACAGGTTTACAGAAAAACATTTTAGTATTTGACCTACTAAAGAACTCAAACCCCAAGTTTTAAGAACATTATAGAGAGTATCTATGCAGTTTGGCAGTGTTGCACCAAAAAAAAGTTTAAAAGCTTCAGCGTGGCCAGTGAATTTGTAGAAGTTAATAATTTTTTGCTCAAGTTTTAGGCCGCTTGCCCACGCCGCGACAGAACTGCTTCGCGTCAGCGTTCGCTACAGCGCGTACCTGCTTCGGTCCCTTTGTCCGTCGTCGGCGAAGAGCCCTGATGATTGAAGTTCGCGCGCTTCTGCCGCGGCGTGGGCAAGCGGCCTTATTTGTTGGGGAAATATTTGTTAATTGGTACTTTGTCACAGTGAAATCAGAGAGCTGACCAATTAGTGTCAGGATAGTATAATATTTACTTTTCGTAGTGTTAAATTACAAACTTTATCAGGAAAAATATTAGAAAAATTGGGAAATGTCGGGGAATTTGTTGTGCCACCCTACAATTTATATTTACTTTTTGGAAGCCAATGAATCTAACCTCCTCCTCATTGTAAACCTCTCTTCTCCATCGCCCCTGAAAAAGGTTGTCTTTCTTTTTCTCTCGTACAGCAAAAACAGCAAAAGTTAATTGATTCTTATAAACTAACAGAAGCAATTGTAATTTTTGCAATGTAATGTTACTCACCAGAATGTAATAGGTCCACTTACACCTTTAGGCTCCCAAGTGAGGGATACAGAAGATTTCTCTTCAGGCCCGCTGTGTGTGGCACCGGAAGCACTCTGTTGAAGATGCAATTTATTAATTATTTAAAAAAAGAAATTTAAAAATGCATGATCCTAGAATTCTGTAGCGATACTTTAATATTCAATAGCCTCAGATCCATGGCATGGAGGAAAATATTATTTTAAATATTTTGTTATTGGTTTTGGTGTACTTTAAAGCAGGATAATTTTGGTCCAGTGTGACATTGGCCAAATTAATTGACATCCACTGAAAGCCACAGGGTCTAATGTTATCCCACTTTAGATTTAACTTTGGAGAGTTGTTTCTTTTCTTTTTGAAGTTATGCATTGAATTATATTTCAAAATATTCTCTCAACATTCTGTCTAATATAATTAGATATTTCAAAGTGCACACTCTTATAACAATTAATGTAGGGTCATAATTTACATTTTAAAAATGTTTAGAACTGCCATGTTAATGGTATTTAGCCACGCTGCTTGAATTATCTGCCTCGTAGTTATAATTACACTTTCACATTTAAATTGAGAGGCATGTTCAATATCCTGTCTTTTTGGGACGTCCGTCGTAAATTATAAGGATTTTGGAAACCCCCTCTCCCTGAAACGTTAGAGTATTGCGAACTTGAACCCTCCCAATATCTATAAAAGTAAAAACTACTGTATGTGCATTAATTTTATTGGTGTTATTAATATTTATCCATCCGTATATAAATAAAGGGATTGTGCTTATGTCTGCCGCATATGGATACAAAAACTACTCGACCGATTTCTCTGTAAAGGCCCATTCACATTGCAAACATAAACATAAGCATTTAACGCCATTTTGTGGGCCTTAACATAAAAGTTAGGACTACGTTCGCATAAGCATAACACGTAAGACAACTTCAAAAAGCTTGCAAGCTTCTCTGCTTACGCTAAGACATAAGAAATGAACCAATCAGAACGGTAACTCAAAATCAAAATTAGAGCGAAGTCGATAGAAGAACTAACGCCATATGGGACATAGACTCAGTCGATATCTTGAAATCTATTCTCACATCCAACCAGAAAGTCTCACAGCCAATAGAAACTTATTTTACTTACGTTTATGTTACGCATTGTGAATAACTTGTCTATCGTGCATGTTAATGTTTATGTCGAACTTTCATGCCCAATGGAAGAAATCAAAGCAATAACCACGTGCCCTGAAGGTGTATATACCGTACACGAACACGACGCATAAGATTATGTAAGTCATGTTTCAATATAAACTTTTATTTAACTTAGTAGTTTTAATTAATTTACTTGAATTGCTTACATTTTTATTACATGAATGGTTGAAAATCAGAACGGTATAAGTGACATTTTATAAACTCCGAGAAAACGTGTTTATTTAGGTTATATTTTAGTGGATATGTATTTTTGTGGTTTTAATGATGAAACAATGCACATCGACTTTACACTAATATTGACTTAAACAAACAGATTTCTCGGAATGTATAAAATGTTATTTATACCGTTCTGGTTTTCACTCATTCGTATATGCAACAAATGTGTAATACAAATATTCCAACAAATATACGCAGATGGCAACAAGGGTTGCTAATCTCGTGCTTTTTAAAATATAATAATAATTATTATATATTATTTTTTTAACTTTTATTTATTTTTCAACTATGCAGTTTATTTGTTGGGAAGGGGTTCTGAAACTCAAGCAAACGTGCGCAGTTGATTTTCTCCTCCACACGTCACATACAGTTTTATTGTTTTTTGACTAAATAAATCAAATATATACGTATTTTGAAAATATTTCCATTTTTTTATAATAATTTATTTATAATACCTTTTTTATTTAGATATTTTAATGTGGTTCATTGTCTTAGTTAACAAATAGATAAAATTATTTTTGTAAACATTGAAAAAATATCAGTTTTGCATAACAATAACTCCCCCGCCCCCTATGTTAAGCAGCGTAACAATATGTGAACCCTTCTGCCTCTTAGGGAAGTTATGGATGACCGTCATTATTTAAGGAAAAACGCAGTTATGTATTAACGTGCAAAAATTGATTATGTTTGGAGCTAAAATCACTCGTCCGAAGTTTTCATTAAGAAATTCAAAACATTTCTAAATTCGAATGTTTTCATAACTAAAAGCTGCTTTAGAAGTAAAAGTAGTTCCACAAAATTTTCAAGAAATGTATTTCTCAACTTGTTATTGTGGAAGTAGGAGATATTTAGATATTTTTATAGTATATTTGTTTCAAATATGACCGGCGCTCAATATGAAAATGATATCGCCGCTCGGGGGAAGTACCAATAGGTATTTCACATCTGCGAACATTTCTCCAGGACTTTTCTTTCTGGCACCTCGTTTTAGTTCTGTGTATGAAATCATGTACTCAATCAAATTTCGAGAAGACTTTGCACAGTCACTTATGGAGTTGGGAGCGGCGCGTAAGAAACACTTACGTTGGGGCCAGTGCAGTCGACGGTGCGGGCGCCGGGGGTGACCTTGAAGCTGCCCACGGCCTTGCCGGAAGCGTCGCGGCCTTGCACCAAGAATCCCTTGAAGGTCTTCCCGCCCTTGAGCGTGAGAGAGACGGAGCCGTCCTTGGCCTTGACGGGAGTGAGCGTGTAGGGCGAGGGGGACTTCTGCGGGTCGACGCCGTGCTGCGGGACCATGTCGCCGCAGGAGCCTTCGGGCGCGCCCTTGGCGTAGCCCTGCACCTGGCAGGCCAAGAGCAGCGCGCAGGCCGCCGCGCACGCCAACGCCAACTGCCTCATGCTGTCTGCTGCTGCCGCCACTGCGATCTAAGAAGAAAAGGAAACGGTAAGCACATCCCGTAATCCCATCGAGCTACAATACACTTCCTAGCGCGGTTGACCATTGGTTTCGGCGCCCTTGATCGACGTCGACGCCGCCATGTTTGTTGTTTTTTTTTTTTCAGCAAAAACATCAAAAGTGCCTCATGCGGCGTGTTGTTTGTATCAGATATGATTTCTATATTGTTGTCTTTCCGTTTATCTGTATTTAAATGGTATTAGTGGTTAGAATAATAATATTCTCAATGCCTTAAGTATGTCCGTAATGAAACTGTAAAAATAGAAGTCGTCAAACCAAAAATACATCATTTTTCGAGTTGGCCGCCTTATTTGCTATCCGTTTGTTTGATTCCTATTGCAATAACATTCACTTTCATGTTTATGCTAACTATAATAACATTTCAACAGCTTCCATTCGTATGACAATAACGGATGTAGGAAGCGAAGTACACTTAGTTTCTCATTTTCTTCTCCTAACATGTCAGTCCGTGTTTGTTCGCGAGAACACGGAGTGTGAGCATTCACATAACGCGTGGCGCAAGCATTGATGCTTTAGCGTTTAAGCGTGGACGAATAGGATAGTTCAGACCACTCATTTTTGTCAAAAATGGGAATTGGGAATGGTCCCCACAAGTCGATTGCAGCAAATTCCGAGAAGACATTTATTCATTTAGTTTATTTCACGAAAAAAAAAAACCAGTGAAAAACTGTGTAACTTACTTTGGGAAGAAGTGCAACATATGCATGGTTTATTGAGCTCTGGGGATGTCTATTATAACTCATATACACATTAAGCTATTATGATTTCATGCAGAATTAAGAATGCTGTAGGAATTATGAATACATGCCGCATGTGCTCAAGGATCAGGGAAACTGGACGGCAATCTTAATCGTAATGGGGTCATTGACCCAAAAACGAAGATACAAGACTTGCTACTGTCTTATTTAGTCTTTCAGAATTATAGAGTCTACACGGTAACTAGTCTCTAATTGTATAAAAACAGTTACGCTGTAGAAAAGATTTTACTTGGCACTTAATCTTTAGTATCGATTTTAATTGTTTAATAACTTCTGGCAGTGAGTTGTAAAATAATGAACATGTATTGTATGTGCATTTTTTGTAGTGAGTTGTTGATCCTGACACCTGATGTATGTGATTTCTACGTTGAGTGTTGCAGTTATTGACATCTGTATTGGTTAAAATATGTTCTCGCCCTTGAGTAAGTAATCTTGTTTTACAAAGATCATTGATTTATATGACAAGAGACACTGCAATTCCTAGCTTAGTAGAGAGAGGCTTACAAGAATCTCGTGGGTGGGATTTACTTATTATTCGTACAATTCTTGTCTGTAACCTAAGAGCCTGGGAGCTATATGCTTTGTTTCCCAAGAATATTATATCGTATCTAACACTCAGGCGGGAATGAACATTCGCGAAATATACACAACTAGCAACATGGAGGCTGACTGAATTGGAAAGAGTTATGAATGCGTAGTATAATTAACTAAATTTCGTGTTCAATTCACTGAAATAGATGTTCCATTTGAGGTTTGATTGAATAGAGATACTCCAAACGTTTTGTTGCCTTAGCATCAGTCAATGGCACATCGTTAAAAATCAGTGGAGTCGACAATTATTTATTTGAAATTGAAAACTGTATTGAAACATTTTCCTTCTTTTACTATTAATTTATTATAATGGAACCAATTTGAAACATCTGCTATTGTATTAGTTACTGTTTCTTTATTTGAAATAACACACTACAGGCGCAGAGATCACACTATTGGCGCACCCGAGATCAGTATAAAACCCGACCATAAATGATAGATTTGCTACTGCAATTATTGCTGACAACCATATACGAGAAATACGTATAAAAATGTATATGCAATGAAAAACAACATATAGCTAACTAAACTCATTAGATCTAAGTATCACCAAGGAATGAAAAAATACTAGTGTTATGTCCAAATTATTCATAGTCTATCGAGGCGTACCCGAAGCTCGTGTTATCAGGGAAAGTACTGTGCATCGGGGGAAAATTGCACTAAAGCCCCTTCTGGGAATGAAATTAAACGTGTATGCCATTTGCCACTAATAATGTCATGATTGTATGTAAAACAGCCTTTTTGCGCAGCGTTACAGCACTTACCCCACGCGAGGAAGTGAAATTAGCTTTAGTTTCTCGGCCGCGCGAATGAATTAAGTTTCTCTGTTCAATCAGTAGAGCTACTATTTTTTACTCATTTGCGCCAAATCGTACAGGGGCACGAGTAACATCTAGAAATTATTCACTTTTTACAAAGATTTGGCTAACTCGTGCTGAGCTTCGGTAAGTCATCCCTCAACTGAAAAACACGGGTTATTCTTTCTTTAAGAGTCGGTACATTGCACATTTTGTTGAAAGTAAACCGCGTGGGCTCTTTTATATTCGGCGATTGTGAGCTGTCCGTTTACATTTAGTCGTGCATGGCCTCGTTTTTAATTTCTACATAAAGGAATTCGATTAATATTCTCTCATAATTTTCGCCGAATCAATTCACACAAAATGCATGGGTCAGTTTTCGTGCATACCGGCGTAGTGGAAGTCTTAACGTAAAGTTCGAGCCCCGACGGGGGTAGGGCTTTCGACATTGTCTAAATCGAATTCAGTCGCTGTCTGGAGGAGAATTCTATAGGTCGGCTCTGATGGAGAGTCTTCCGTGGTTTCTCTGATCAATATCAGGCGAATGTCGGAGCAGTATCCCAACAAACAGACCACGAACCGCGCGCGCTCTGCCTCACCTCCTCACACACATAATCACACACGTACATGCAGGGCACCTCCACAAATGTTGGGAGACTGGTCGGGGGCTTAGAGCGTGTTCCGCATGTGGCGGCGCCTCGCGGCTGGGAGATACCTGGATGGAGAAAATCCCGTATACCACCACCTTCCGCGAAAAAGCACTGTTCTAACAGGACTAATGGCCGTAGCAGTTGACGTGCCCGGAAACGCGTAATAATAAATCATTGAACGTTATATAATAAAAAAGGGCGTCAATTTTATTTCACACGAGTACATTTCCGCAGTCTCGCCGCGCACAGTTGTGCACCCGTTGGTCGGCCCACTGTGGTCGGACCCGCCTTGGATCAGAACCCCTTGGCTCTCGCGGGAATTGAGCTTACTCAGGAGAAAGCGTTACCTAAGACCCTCGCGTAAAGACGAATAAGGAAAAATCATAATTCGAGCTCACGTGCCACAAGATAAAAAGCGCATAGCAGCGGCTGTGGCAAGCTGTTACTTAATTCCGTGGAAGGGGAACTTGTCTACTAACATGAAGCGGTGGTGTGAAGAACCTGAAAATGCTAACAAAATATCCCAATGCTAGAACAAAATGGAGCGTACAAGTGAGTTCACGTCAGCTTGACTTGTAGAAACTAGTGGTGCTACATCACTCATACTTTCTCGCATTATTTCTAAATTTTCCATTTTTGAAAACTTGGAGAGTTCAACGAAAATTAGACTCGTGCCAAACTTTTATGCGTCCTTTCTTTAGGTTTTTGAGACAAAATATTGTTTTAAAAAAATTAACATTACGTGTACTTCGCGCAAAATTACGCGAAACATACTTACATTTTCGATATTGTACATGTCCTTATTTGAAGATCTGATTTGAGAATAGATTTCATTGAGGGATAAATCTCAATCTTCAATATTGCAGTAGTAGAAAGACACCCGCCTCAAAATATTGCAATTTTGCAATTTTGGAAAAAGTGGCGATTTTAACGAACATGATAACCTGTAGCACTCTTTTAAGGGTCCTTTACGCTATGCGAGGACAAAGTTTAATAAACAAAATTGAAACCATATAAATATCCGCTTGAAATTCCCAGCACGTCCAGTTCGTTTATATCCATCAGGAAATATTAATTTAGACTGAACGGTTTTAGAGCTAACGTTGACCCAAGAATGACGGACGGAAGAACGGACAGACAGACAAATCGACAGACAGACGTTTTGCCTTGAATCGATTTTTCGGTATCAAGAATGCACAAAACATGGATTCTGGCTACACCGTACATTTCCACTTTTTCGTCGTGAGAGCCCGGCAATCAGAGATTTTTTGTCGAAAATTCGCCGTTTTCCGGCCCCCTTAACAACAATATTTCCTCTTCTTACATTTGTAAGAGCTAGAAAGTAAAAATGTGTGGTGCTGTATGGTGTTTTTTTCAATTTTATGCACAAGAGAGAAGGTGAAGCTATGTTGGAAAAGGTCTTCTATCCTCGAATCTTGTTAGGAAGACGAGAAAATAACACACAATTTCGAGGCAATAGACGGTGTTCATTTTTTAAGTAGTATACACGTATAAAGACAATAGGTAATTATAGGGAGTGCATTTGTGGTTCTCACTGGTCATTACAATCACAGCTAGGGAAGCCTAGGGAAACAGGAAATATGCCGGTAATAATACGGCTGCTAGGAACAATGAATTCAAATGAAAAGTCGATTTCGCCTCCCTCATTCATCCACAATTCAGCGTTTTAAAGCGCAGCATGTGAGCCACGAAGGCCATCGCTTATCGCTGAGATCCCCCGAAGGGCGTGGGACGTCTTGAATGCGAAAGCGCGGCATCTGCTGCGCAACGTCCGACTTCCAACGGACGCTGCTTCCCCGCAGATCGCCATCGGCGGGCGTTGGCGGCAAGGTTCCGCCAGCAATTAACGCGACTCGGGGCCATGTCGGTGCCATGCGGTGGCGACAACGTAGAGTTGACCCCCCCCCCCGATCTCACCGTTGGCCAACGCGCCTGCGGACCCCGCGCGGGCACGCGACGGCCCCCTGCGTTGCGCAGCGCGCGGCTAGGCGGCGACACGCCGACTGCGACGGCGGCGCTGGCCGCCCTGCCCCCAAGGGAAACTCCAACGGTTGCAAAAAGTAGTGAAGGACTTTGTATTCGGGACTTCACCGATCACGCAGGCTTTTAAGGGCGCACAAATCCTTAGTACGC